CATTACCCTAAAACTTCAGCCTCCTAGACTCCGTGGTTCCCGAGATATTAATTTACCCGTAAAAAAACTTTCACAGGGCATACGTGTTACCCGCGGGTACGGGGAAGCTGAATTTAAATTTGTGAGGTCACACATGCGTGGGGAACGTTCCCCCAAATTTTCAGCTTCCTAGCTTTTGTAGTTCCCGAATTGAAAGTTGCGGACAAGTTGCTGCGGACACACAAATACACACACAGGCAACCCCGTGACAATATGCGTTTTGTGCTGCTGTTACACAGCACAAAACGCATAAAAAGCTAAAGTGACGCAAAGCAGCAATACATTGTGGTTTCTCGTTTCAGGCAGTTGTCTTGGACAATTTGGACGGGAGGATGAGCCAGGCTGTCTTGCCAGCTAGTAATAATAACAACGGTAATACCAATGGTGCCAATGACCAGTGGATGAAATACTACAGTCAGTGGTATGCCAACAACCAGCGGTTGCAACAGGAGCAGCAGCAGCAGCCGGCAGTTGCTAGTTCGGAGATCGGTCAGTCGCTTGAAGTTACCGGACCTGAAATACAGCAAACAAGTCAGGAATCAACTGCTGGCAGTCATCAGCAGCAGCGGCATGAACAGCATCAACAACAACAACCACAGGTACTGTGTATTACCTTGCTGCTTCGCTTTGTTTAAAACTCTTGGGCGCATTCCCATCACATACTTTGATATGTACAAGTCTAACTCGCTTTCACTAAATAGAGAGCACTCCGATTCTGGCAATATTGTCCTGCACAAAGTCGTCGCTGCTTCGATAGTAAATAATTGCGGGCACTTACCGAGGAATCGAAACTATAAGCATCCTTCAAAAGAAACAGCCATTAGCATCTTTGTTAGCGGCACATTGTGCTACCACTTCGATTACTTCCGAGTGACGCTTCTTCTCACAGTTAGTTAAATTATACGGTAACGGTTTTAATTTGTTGACTTTTAGCTTTCACAAGGATTTAGAAGGATTTGACAAAGATGCTCGACTGAATCCTCAGCATTTGTTGATGCCGTTAAATTTGTCATTTGCGGTTCGTGTATTCCGCTTCTAAGCGTTGTTTATGACGCTGTTTTCACTTTCAGCCAAATTTTGTCTCCGTCTACTTGATTTTTATGCGTTTTTGCCGTGCAGCGCTAGAGCAACACGCCTGGCTGCAAAAACGCATATTGCAACGACCCTGTCAGTGTGAGTGTGTATGTTTGTATGTGTGTGTGTTCGTCTGTCCGGGTATTTCAACTCGCTAACCACGAAAGCTTTGAAGCTAAAATTTTGCCAGTGTGTCCCCCCGCCAGGTACCACCCCAGGACCGCGGTTTCAATCCTCATGCAGGTCTGGGCCCCGCGTACGAGCACGTGAAAGTTTTGGCGCGAAAATCGCTAACTCGGGAACGAGAAAGGCTAGATGAAATTTTGTCAGTATGTTCCCCAGTCAGGTACCACCCCAGGATCGCAGTTTCAACCCTCACACATGTCTGGGCCCCGGCAGTACTAGCACGTGAAAGTTTTGGCGCGAAAATCGCTAGCTCGGGAACGAGAAAAGCTAGAAAGCTGAAACTCTTAGTCAGGTACCATCCAGGATCGCAGTTTCAACCCTCACACACGTCTGGGCCCCGCGTACGGGCGAGTGTGTTCCCCAGCCAGGTAACACCCCAGGACCGCAGTTTCAACCCTCACGCACGTCTGGGCCCCACGTACGAGCACTGAAAGTTTTGGCGCGAAAACCGCTAACTCGGGAACGAGAAAAGCTAGAAAGCTGAAACCTTGGGAGAATGTTCCCCACGAAAATCGCTAACTCGGGAACGAGAAAAGCTAGAAAGCTGAAACCTTGGGAAAATATTCCCCACCCGCATATGACGAAAAGATTTCAAATTCAGCTGCCCGGGACTGCCCGGGGCTCACGTACAGGCACGTGAGAATTATGGCGGGAAAATTCATAACTCGAGAATGTGAAAAGCTAGAAAGTTGAACTTTGGGGGAACGTTTCCTACTCATGCGCGACCAAAAGTTTTTAAATCCAGCTGCCCAGGACTGCCCGGGACTCACATACGGGCACATAGAAATTTTGGCGCGAAGGCCATTAACTCGAGAACGGGAAGAGCTAGAAAGCTGAAACTTTCGGGGAATGTTCCCTACTCATGTACGAGCAAAATCAGGTGTTTAGAAGCGCCCGGGGCCCACGTACGAGCGAAATGTTCCCTACTCATGTACGAGCAAAATCAGGTGTTTAGAAGCGCCCGAGCCCACATACGAGCACATGGAGATTTTGGCGCGCAAATTACTAACCCGGGAACGAGAGAAGCTAGAAAGCTGAAACCTTAAGGGAATGTTCCCTACTCATGTAGGAGCAAAATCAGGTGTTTAGAAGCGCGCAAGCCCACGTACGAGCACGTGGAAATTTTGGCGCAAAAATCACTAACTCTGGGATGGGAAAAGCTAGAAAGCTGAGACTTTCGGGAAATGTTCCCTACTCATGTTCGAGCAAAATCAGGTGTTTAGAAGCGCCCGGACCCACGTACGAGCTCATGGAGATTTTGGCGCGAAAATTATTAATCCGGAAACGGGAAAAGCTAGAACGCTGAAACCTCAGGGTAATGTTCTCTGCTCATGCATGATCAAAAGGTTTTAAATTCAGCTCCTTAAAACCGTCCGATGATCACGTACAGACACGTGAAATTGGTGGGAAAACTACGAATTCGGGATCGAGACAAGTTGAAGGCTTTAATTTTGAGGGAATGTTCCCTACTTATGTGCGACTAAAAGATTTCAAATTTAACTCTTCTAGTGTGGCTTTTT